CACACACACACACACACACATATAAGCAAAAAGGTTCACTTCTATTCAAATACTAAGCAATGAAGTACTTAGGTTTGCCAATGACCGTTATCCGAACCTGAGGAATGGTAAAAATGCGCCTTCGGTTATCAGTGGTTCATTTACAGACGAGCTGAAACTGGTCTCTACTTTCTCTACTGAAAGTACTGACCAGTTCTAAAAGACACTCTGTAAATGAAATGTGAGGCAACTTCTGAAAGCAAAAAACACCAAATTCTCCCGGACTTCAAATGTGGGCTTAAATGTCGTCGACAAAACATAAGAACATCTGTTTTGTTGAGATGTTTATCAAATGTGAGCTCCTACGCTAACCCAAGAGTCTTCTCAACTCCCCTCAGCGACTGCTTCAAGTTATCCGCGCTTCACTTAAGTTTAACACATTTCTCCAACAAAAACAACACCACAAATGCTAAATTCTACAGTAATTCCAGGACTTTACCTCAAATGTTTTTATTTTTAAGAAAGAAGAACATTTCTGAGTACCTGTCAGCGGTCGTGTAGCTCTCTCAGACTCTCCTCCCGGTTTCAGAGCGGAGCTCGTCCGTCCGACAAAAAGAGGAGGTAAAACGATTTATCCCAAGAAGTTCCTCTCAGAAATCTTCCCAAAAAAGTCCACAGACTTCAACCAAAGAGCTGGTAAGGAAAGCGTTGAAGAGTTTGTAAGAAGAAATTCGTGTACGCGGTCCGTGAACAGGTAGACAGCGTTAACACGCTGCACGCGCTCCAAGATGCTGTAAATGACGCGACACGCCCACGACGCTGACGTCACATCGGAGGTGAGCTGTAAATGTTAACTGGAGTGCTTTCATTTATGTGAGCATACTAATGTAAGCAGAAGTGGGTAGGGTAGCTTAAACCACACAAAGAAGCACTCTCACTTCAAACAACTAATGACTCAAGTGCACTCTTAAAAAGATGGTTCTTCAAGGGTTTTTGGTAAAGGGAATGGTTCTATTTAGAACCATGAGTTCTATATAGAACTATTGACATGCTTAAATGGTTCTTTGCATGATGAAATGGTTCTTCAGGTTGATAGAGACTATTATATGTTGTATATGCTTCTATATAAACTCACTGAGAACTTTATTAGGTCCACCTACCTTGTTTCTACACTCATTGTACATTTTATCAGATCCACTTACTATATAGGTGCAGTTTGTAGTTCTATAATTACAGACTGTAGTCCATCCACCAGCCAAAAATATCCAGCCAACAGCTTCCTGTGGGCAGCATCCTGTGACCACTGATGAAGGACTAGAGGATGACCAACATAAACTGTGCAGCAGCAGATGAGCTATCGTTTCTGACTTTTCATCTACAAGGTGGACTGATGAGGTAGGAATGTCTAATAGAGTGGACAGTGAGTGGACAAAATGTTTAAAAACTCCAGCAGCACTGCTGTGTCTGATCCACTCAGACCAGTGCAACACACACTAACACACCACCACCACGACAGTGTTACTGCAATACTGAGAATGATCCAACACCCAAATAGTACCTGCTCTGTGAGGGTCCATGAGGGTCCTGACCACTGAAGAACAGGGTAAAAAGGGGCTGACAAAGTACGCAGAGAAACAGATGGACTACAGTCTGTAATTGTAGAACTACAAAGTGCACCTATATAGTAAGGGGAGCTGATAAAATGGACAATGAACGTAGGAACATAATGTTATGCCTGATCGGTGTATGTTTATCCATCAGCATCAGTATAATATGGAAGCCCATTTCCACGACTTGAAAAAAAGGCCATATAGTATGTCAAAATTATGACCTAGTATCTCATAATTATGACTTAGGATCTTTAAAAAAATGACTTACTATCATAAAATAATGACAACATTTTCTCATCATAGAAAGATTCCAAGTCATTACTATGAATTATTAAGTCATACGTATGAGATAGTAGATCATAATTATGAGACAGCAAGTCATAATTATGAAACACTAAGAAACACTTATGGAAACATATCATGATATCTCATTATTACAAGATAGCAAGTCATAGTTAAGCGATACTAAGTCATAATTATAAGATAGGGCCTCATTATCATGAGATAACAAGTCATAATTATGAGATTATAAGTCAGAATTGTGACATTCTATCTTACTATTATGGATACGTCATACTTACTAAGTAGCAGTTATGAGGTACTAATCATGATTATGAGCTACCAACTCATTAACATGAGATAGCAAGTCATAATTCATAATTAATTATGAACTATAATTAAGTAATAATTATAGGAAAGATTCTCATTATCATGACCTACTAAATGGCTATATATTTTTCAGTTCTGGAAACAGACTTACATAGCATCAGTATCAGCAGATATGTACTTGAAAATTATCAGATATTGACATCCACCCAGAATTCCCATAGTATAGTATAAAGCATCAAGTCAAAAAACTCAAGTAGTCAGGTCACTAGGACTGCAGTGGAACATCCTCCAGTGTTGTAAGAGCTGAAGTGCATTAGGTAAATATATTTTCCTCTTTTGAGTCGCTTTTAGTCTAAAATAAAAGCTCAAAAGTAAGAGCTGCATGCAATGTAGATCCTGTTACCAACAGAGCAGAGTGAAATTATAAATATCAATATCAACTAAAATGTAGAGTGAGTCATTTCCTCACAGCTGTCTTTTAAAATTCTTCAGGAAAGGACAAATCCATCAAAATATCACATAAGTATATTTGACTGAGTGAATGTAACCAGTTACTGCCTACCTCTACTCAAATATATGGTAAAATGTGGCAGAGTTAATACATTTACTCTTGTACAAACAGAGGGCAGGGTTAGGGTTCCTCTGTTACAGTGTCATTGGAGTAAATCTTCACAACAGTGACGCATTCCTGAGTGAAACATGGTATTAGAGAAGGTCTCTGAGCCAGCTGAGTGCTTTCGCTCAATAATAGCTGGGGGTGTTAGAGAGAGAGAGGAAACACTAGGTAACATTATTTCATCCCATATGCTATAATTTCTTTCTCCCCCCCCCCGCTGGAGAATGGTGATGTAATCAAAACTCATTACATTTTGATGGAAAATTACTGAACTTGGTATTTTAATGATATGATAATGATGGGTTTAAAGAGGAATTCCGCCTCTTTTTCAGAATTTCTGCATGATTCCATCATTGATGTAAAATGATTCACTATAGAGGAACTTACTGACTCAGATTTCTTTACAATGGTGGGGAAAGGACCCAGAGATCGCAATGTTTACAACGCTAATGTAGTCATTCTATTTACTACCCAAAACTACCAGTGAACTTACACGTACCTGCTTTTTATATGTAATGCTGATGATGGTAAAATAGTGGTAAGTCTGAAAAAATAAGTTGTTGTATGCCTTGCATGCACCTCTCCGTTATGTATTGAAAAAAAAATACTTTTTACGTCAAAACATTACATAAGAACTACAATGTCTCAGCAGAGCATTCATAACTATTTCTGTGTAATAACTTTCTGTGGGGGATCACTAAACTCTTCAGACGTCTGGTGCCTATCACTTGTATTGTGAACAATTCTGACTCAGTAAGTTTCTCAGGAATCGTGCATTTCACATCAAACCATTCTGAATGACTTTGTTTGCATCCTAACCATCTGATAATACAAAAAAATCACATTAACTATGAGTAGAGACATAAACTAACAAGGTAAATATGGTCAGTTCTGATTTAATGTTGACCCCAACACAGTGATCAATGAACTCTTAATGCTCATCTGTGTCCAGCTAGACTTACACTAGCACTAGTGTTAATTCAACGCTGGGGATTTTGCTAAGTACCAATGCATAATATGAGTGTATGTTTTTAGGGAGGTGTTGTGCTGCAGATGGGCAGGAGACACTGAGCTTGTGCTAGTGCGTCTGAGTATAAGACAAACCTAATTTTATTTTATTAATATCACAGTGTCAAACAATGCAAACCAACATAATGCTCAACAGTGTGTGTAACATTTCACAGCAGAAAATATACATGCATTTAAATGTATCCTCAAAAGGATATGAAATAGAGGAATATGCAAATTAAAGCAAAACAATACATATCAAATCATGCAACACTCAGGTTACATAGCTCAATACTGTGAAAACAATTACGGTAAATAGATACGGAGGAAATCTCTCCCTACAGAGTTAGAATTGCTTCAAATTACAGTTCAAGTCAGTCAGTTATGCACCATTAAAATAATAATAATAATAAAATGAACATGCTGATAATATCACTGATTTGTACAATAGTAGGTCTATACTGATGTTACAGCACTGACTGCACTCAACTCTATTCTCTCACAACAACCCAAAAATGGAATAACATTGTCAAATGTTATATAGCCTTAAAAATATATAATATGAAAATAATATGCTAAACAACTGTACAAAAATAACATTCTATTTTTCAATAGCGATGGTGCTGAACATGTGTTGGATACTTTTCAGAATGGAAGACTTTTCCTTTTAAATAATGGTCAAGTTCCAGAAGATGAAATACAACTCTTTCAAAAATATACGCAGTGACAGTTACAATTCCTCAAAAATGGTAAATCTACTTTTAAGCTCAGTGTTATCAATTCTAACTGCTTTAGTGGCTCACTTGAACTTTCAGTTACACAGCTAGAATAACACAGTAATAGAGTTGCTATAGCAGATGTGAAATGTTGGCAAAATCCGTGTTGTAATAAATGTATGTGAACTGTCAACATTGATTGTGCAATGGGAAAAGGTCAGCACTTCACAATTCACTACAGTGCCCCGATCACGTGTGAGAACTTTCATGCACACTCTGCGATTACGACGTGTTATGTCTGCTATTACACTTCTATGACACTGATAAGCCAGCTTCCATCTAGAAGTACTATGTGGACGGAATTAGTTTTATGTCTGTGCAGTAATGTTACCTCTGTTAGAAACAAAAGTCAGCTTAAAATGATAAGGTTACACTGCTTTCTTGTAGGAAGTCAACTTTGAGTTCACCAAATTCAAATGTCTCCGTTTAGCCAAAAGTCCTTCTAATTCTCAGTTAGGTAAACAATACAAAATGGATGTTTACTTAAATTTCCCACTAGCTGGGACTCAGACAATCCCACCAAACATTTTCTCCTCTTGGGCTTCAAGTTATGGATGGTTATAGGATCACTGGGGTTCAAACTCACAATCTCCTGGTGGGGTGAACATTTAGGCCATTGCACCACTTTGTCAAGCTCCTGACATTAGTCAGATTTCTGACTTCATTTTCCTTAGATGTTAAAGATGCTGTAAAATATTAGTCATTTCAACTTTGTACAGTAGGTGAGCAACAGTAGGTGGGGAACAACCTAACCCAGGGCTCAATTTAACACAGGGTTTTAATGTTGTTGTACATGTTCAAACAGCATGTGCTTCTGGCCACATTACCACATTTCCTCGCCACAGTCTTCTGTGAAAATTCAGAGCAATTCGTCAGTGTTTTAAAGAGATCTGTGTCAAAGAGTGTTTTCAGGGCATGTAAGTAATTTTAGTTCAACACAAGCTTTTTTTGGTTACTGAGCTGTGTGTGAAAATCAAAAAATCTAATGTTATATTACTGTAATCACTATCTTGTTGCCTACAAAGTGCAGCATGTGACAAGCTCACAGCAAGTGCTAGCTAGGCTTAATTACAGCCTCTGTACTGCGGGGTTAGTTGTAACATAGTGCTACAACTAAGCCACCTTTAGTAAACAAACAAATATTTTTTTTTTCCCTTTTTGTTGTTTTGTTTAAAATGAAATGAGTGCATCTTAAAACAGGGATTTTCTTATACGTTATACTATTAGTATCTCTCAGGTGTTTGTATTTTGGTTTTCGATAGGTATATTAATGAAATTGACAGAAACAGTTGGTAAAGCTGAACTTATTCAGAAACAATCTTCCATATTTTAATGATGTATGATGTTTTTTATTTGCCATCCTACACTGGACAAAAAATAAATTTTGTCGCTGTTTGACACACAGTCTTGTGTCAGTTTTCATATATAATTTGTTGTCTGTTTGTATGTGTATCTTTCAATTGTGCTGTCTGTCTGTCTGTATCTTATAAACAGATAATATGGAATATACAATATAATTGGAAAATATATTTCTTACACATAGAATTATATTGAATTAACTTTGTTTGCACTAATTCTTTAGACTTTTCTAGCAAGTGTTACAACTAACCATCTGTCTGTTATGGTTAACCCCACCCAAGGGTAAATCGTAACATTGCAATACCCGTTATTTTTGGTGGAATTGTATATGAACCGTAGGGGCTAGAAACAAAGTTCTAGTGTTCGTCTGTAGCAGAGATGTCTCTGTTGCTTGTATAAAAATATGATTATTCCAAATATTTTAAAAATTACTTTGCAAAAACCAAAATGAGTTAGGTTGTGCCCTGCTCTCCTCTAATGTAGTAACATGTGGTGCAATGGGCTAAGAAGACACCCCGACATCAGGAGACTATGAGTCTGTACCCCAGCGATCTCAACATGATGCCTTTTGGGATATTGTGACAGAAAGAGTCCCAGAGAGTGGGGTAACTGAGTAAAAACAATTTTTATATTGTTTACTTAATTGAGAAACTAGAAATAAAGTTAGGGGAACTTTTGAATAAACTAAGAAGTTTGAGTTGGGTGAACTCTAGTATCCTTAAGTTGATTTACCTCAAGAAAAGCAATGTAATCCGTTATCTTATCATTTTAAGTTGAGCTGATTTGGCATTTTTTACAGTGCACAGGACGTGTAATGTTTATGATGATATGACTGGCAAGGGTTAAATGATCTGTACATAAATTACAGAGATCTAAGCGTCTACTCAATTTGTGCACATCAGAAGCAAAAAGCAGTCAAGCATCAACATTAGCTAGCCAACTCTCAAAACAGGCACATTAAATCAGACCACAGGGGTTATCTGTGCTGTTGCTTTACAGGATTTAATGTGTGTAGTCATCCACTTGGGTAAGCCAGTACTTTGATTTGTGAATACAAGTGAATGCTTCCTCACATGTCTTCATACTTGAGAAAAAACTCCTTTCCCACAGGTTACGATGGAATGTTTATAACTGATATATCCTGTGTTTATTTTTACAGTTCACTTTATAGCACAGAAAAGCCACCATAATCTTTACATACGCAAAAGAATCTAATGACATCACAGACTCAGACAAGACTAAAATCACAGGGATAGTCAGGTAATAATTACATTACCTCCCCATATAAAACTAACCCCGTCTGGATAGTACTTTAGACTAAATAAAATATTACAATGTAAAACATGAAGTTCTGAAACATCTCTTTTTCAGTTCTTCCTGAAAGAATAAGTACAATAGTCAAAAGTGACTCAAGCTCAGGGGAACTTGACAGAATCTAAGGTGGTGATCAAGGTACCCGATTTATTACCTCAATCCTTCCACACTTTCACAATGACCACCATAAAAGCCTAGAAGAATCCTTAAACACGCATAGCATTCCTCCTCAACATGTTCTCACAGCTACAACTTGGCTTTGAGCCAAATTCTACAAAAATTTGCCTTTGGCCAAAAGCCCACCCCTTTAGATGTGTGTGCGTCTATGACATTAGGTAGGGTACTAAAGGCAGTCTCGTGGGGTGGGTAATTATGATATCAGTGCAGGGTTCAAAGGTCAAGAATGTTTGGTCATTTGTTATGACAAGTAAGGCACGCAGCCTAGGAACCTCGCAATTCCTCAAGAGCTCTCCAAGAACCTTCCCTATAAATCAGGACAAGCTCCTAAAATCCCTTAAAATATCTTCTTGGAGCTTGAAACAGCGTACATACTTTCTGGTTGTTTTATCCAATCTAGGTTTTCTGGTGTTGACAAGTTCTGGAGGAGGAGAATGAGAAGAATGTCAAACTGTGTTGATAGGTACATCCTCAAAAGCCTTCCATCCTAACTGACCATGGCACTTCAAGCTAAAGCGTCACCGTTTAGCATCTCAGAGGTAGCGGTCTGTGAATAAACTTGCATATTAGTTTGGAGAGTACCGTGACTGTGTCTTGGCTCAGTCACATTTCTCTGAAGTGATGTCTCCTGCTGCAACTGGGAACACAGTTGGTGTTCAGGAAATGACGCGCAGTGAGGCTCGAGGCCTAGCGATGGGGATTCTGTTTGGTCTGGAAAACAGTGATGTGACCTCTGTCTCCCCCTATAGGTCATATAAAATCAGCCTCTTCCTCCCCCTAAAGGTCGCATGGAGGATTGCAGGAGGGGCTTAACGCTGAATCCCTCTGTAGCTGAGCACTTTAGGAACTGCTGCTGAGTCGGCGACGCAGAAGGGAGGCAGTTTTCGTTTCAGTGTCCTCCTGGTCACTCTCACACTCTCTCTAAGCAAAACAAAAACGTAGAGCAAAAGTTACAGATCAGAATGTTTTTACTGGCTAAACAGGAATGGGCTCAGATTTTTCAAAATGTCATAAAATGTATAATTAAATTAGGATACAAACAAAGTCATTAGAAGTGAAATACTCCTTGCGAGAGAAACTGAGAGTCAGAATTGTTCACAGTGTTGGTAATAGGAACCAGACATCAGAAGCATTTAATGCTTATAAAAGCTGCTTCTCAAAAACGTTATTGCATGAAATGGTTATAAATATGAGATATGAGAGATATTGATATGAGAGATATTGTTTTATGGTAGTTTTGAGTTCAAGTTATGGATTAAAGTGTATATTTTAACCTGATTCATTGCAGATATGTACATGCAGTGAGTAATGAGGCAAAATAGTCCCCAAATAAAAGGTATTTTTCAGATATACCACTAATTTTCTAATATCAACACTACACATAAAAAGTCAGCAGATATGTATGTTTATTGGTGGGTTTAGATAGTAAGTAAAATAGATATATTTGCATTTGAGACATCGAGACCCCTGGTTCCTATCACCACTATCGTAAAAAAAATCCAAGACAGTAAGTTTCTCTACAATGAACTGTTTATAAATCAAACCATTCTGAATGACTTAGTTTACATGTCAACAAAAGCAAAATTTTGAAAAATTGGTGGCATTCCCCTTTAAGCTGTATGTAATTAATTGTTTATTAAATATCTTACCAGTTCTTGTTGTTCCAAAGCACTAGTTTTACACACCAACTTGAGCTTACAAAACCTGTTACAGGCAGACACCATGTTATAGGACATCTGAAAAGGAAAAAGAATAACAGAATAACCACAAAATAAATCCTGATGGTATGACTAGCAAAATACCTGCACTATAATACTGGCCAGGAGTGGGTCTAGCGATAGAGAGAAGTACAGCGCAACAGGATGAGAGTAAACCAATGAGAAAGAAACTGCAAATACTACGCAATAAAATTGCCAGTTACTTTACTAATTCCTTATTTTGTGCTTCATTTCATTAAGGGCCTTCATGAAATGGGTTTCCATGGCCAAGCAGCTGCACACAAGCCTAAAATCGCTATGTGCAATGCCAAGCATTGGCTGGAGTGGTGTAAAGCACATCGCCACTGGACTGCAGAGCAGTTTCAGGGTTTGGGGAAGGCCCTTTATTTCTACACTGTAAAAATCACTGCACATCTTAATGAAATACTTAAGTTAACACAACATAAATACTACAGAAAGTTGGAGTACTGTAATCCAAAAATTTCATCAATCATTTTGAGTAAGACATATTTTACAGCATATTTTGAGTCAAGGTAACTTTATTTAAAGTTATTATATTAACTATTTTATTTAACTTTACATAGTTTTTCATAACTTTTTGATCATTTCAGACTCAAGGATCCCATCAAACGGGATCTCTGAGTTGAATAAACTTATTGCAATTTAGTTTAGACTTCTCAGATTTACTTGATAACTATTTGGTCAATGCAACCTTCTTGAGTAAAACTCAATCATTCCTATTGGCTCTCAGTACCATAAATTTACATATTGAGCGTGTGTCTTCATCGTCTGTGTTTTGTCATTCTCCCCAGCCTACCTTGCCTTGCTTGTCGACTAGATTTATTAACTTTTATGATTCATGCCAATCAATACTGATCAATAATCTGCATTGACAGAGCTGAGTTATTAGGTTTCACTTTGTTGAGTGTGGATCTGCTGTGGCTAAATACCACAGAGACTACATCTGTACTTTGGACTGTACTGTCAGTATTTGGAAAGGTGATCTGTAGTGACATTAAGGTGGACAAGACAAATGTCTATGATCATATCTCTGCAATACAATATGAATTTGTCAAAATGATAGCCTAATGTTGAGTTTAATTTACAATTACTTAATTATATTGAGTTAGAACAGCTTACACGTAAGTCCCAAATACTCAATCATTTTAATATCAACAAAACAAATGGAGTTAGTACAATTTACTCATTTTACTTAAGTGTAAATGAGTTATTAACATTTGATATTAACAAGGTTTTACAGTGTAGTGAAGGGCGATGTTAGCACACAAAGCAAGGTCCATAAAGACATGGTTTGATGATGGTCTGCACAGAGCCCTGACCTTAAACCCACTGGACAACTTTGGGATTCATTTGGAACATCGATTGTTAGCCAGGTTTTCTTGTCTAACATTAATGCCTGACCTCACAAATGTTATTTTGACTGAACAGAAATAGTCCAAAATCTTGTGGAAAGCCTTCTCAGAAGAGTGGAGGCTGCTATAGACGCAAAGGAAGGCCAACTCCATATTAATGCACATGGTTTTGAGATGGAATGTCCTACAAGCTCATATAGGTGGGATAGTCAGGTGTCCACATACTTTTGGCTATATAGTGTATCTGACTGAAATGTGATAATTAGGGAAGGTCTCGGAGCTAGCTGAGCATTTGCTATTTTTAGATAATATTATTTTTCCCCAGGCTCTGGTGGACAGGGAGGTAATGAGAAATCAGATGTTTTTGAGGCATGCAAATATCATTACATCTTGTAAGCAATGAAGTAACCAATAATTTTGTCTTTAAAATTTAAAGATTATTCATTAAAGATATAAATTATGGGAGGCTATTTTTTGAGGTGCTCAAGCAGTTTTCTTTCAGAGAAGCAGCAATACTTTTACCCAAGTATGGCTTTGGGTTCCTTTACCCACTCCTAGTAGACTAGCTTATCTGGTTTCTGCCTCTATAATTGTATGTACTGTATAACATATTGTTATCCATAAAAATGAACAAATGCTGCATGGGTAAAAGTTGCCATCTTGAAGCCTGACTTCTGGTAGTACTTTGGTCTGTTGTTACAAAAAAAAAAAAACCCAGACATCTTAAGACACAAACCATGTCTCAACTACATTTGGGGAAAATCTGTGTGAATCTGATTTTGTTTTTTGTGAAACTACTCCTACAAGTGCCATTTCACCAGAAATATGACTGTATGTCAAGTGACATTCAAAGTACATTACATAGCTGAAAACAGTAGTCACAGTCACAAGTCTGCATTTTGTCTTTTGCTAATTTTTTATCAATTTATAGATAACAGTACACTTTATACAACTGTTCAAAAGAGTGTAATTACTTGTCATATTGTAATATGTGACGTTATTTTGCTCAATAATAACTTATTCCACATAGACTGATATATAAGATGGCTTACAGTATAAGCTAGAAATCACAAGACATTTTAAGATGGTTTATCCAATTTCCAGAATATCAATAAGTGATTAATAATAAGTAATATACTGTATATATGTTTTGTATTCATAGTCATTTTTGATAATACATTTGCCTTGAGATTTGATCCGTACTACAAGGCATATATACAAGGCATTCTGGATGAGTTCATTCTCAATGTTTTACAGCTTTCTCAGTCAGTATGGAATCATCTACAGCTCCGGTCATCATTTTGGACTCATAATTTCATTATTTTTTCATCTTCCTATTAATTAGTTGAAATCTTGTGCAGCTGTAGCATCATAATAAAAACATTTTATAAATGTATCTTTAACAAACTGGTTTTATATTATTCAAAACACACATTCCAATATTTTGAATGGTAGTATGGGACTGAACGATTTGGGCAAAATACTGAATTGTGATTTTTCTGACCAAAACTGTGACTGTGATAGATAAAAAAATCTATAAAGTAACATCCAGGCCTGGATTTTTTGGTAAGCACTGAACATGCTCCAGACTGGCAGTTAGTTGTGGTTGTGTTGTCCTGTACACAACACATGGGTTTCGTTGCTTCTGATTGGTTTAACTCATCTACAGGCAATTCACAAGCTCTGTGTTATTAGGTTAAATTTCCTCACTTAAAACTTGTTAAGATGTTGCTGTTGATAATGTAGACTATAATAACAAATTGCAATTTTAATATAAAAATGATTAATTAATCTTTCAGCCCTGTGGTAGTTCATATCATACAGCACATTAGATTGGCCTTCATTAGTTCCTCCAGTGCAAAACTAAAGAAGCACTTCAGATACCAAAAATGTCTCATCTGACTGACTACGTTTGGGCTAAGGGAGAAAACTGTGTACATTTAATTTGCTAAAACTCACAAGTTCACAAGAGTCTGAAGCTAAAGGAAGTAAATCAGTGGTGATCTTATTGAGCCAACTCTACAGCTGGACTCATGCTACATCCCCACATTTGAACAGCAGGTGTCTCTGTAGCACACAAACCAGCTGCCATACAGTGTGAGTCATCTCTGCAGAGAGGAGGCAGTGGAGCAGACACACAGCAGCACTCCAGGGCAACTACAGTTTCCTCTGGACAGATTAAGGCTGAAAAGCATACTATATGTATAACGTCCATGTCGTATGACTGTACAGATTAGATACTAAGAATAACAGAAACAGAAGGCCTATAGAGCAGCAGAGGGTGTTTGGAGCCATCAGAAGTCATCAGTAGAAAACTGTGAGCATGCTTCTGCAATAGCAGAGATTTTCCCAGGCAGTGTTTACACAAAGCAGCAGCGGTGGCATAGAATATACAGTGACTCAGAGCCAAGAGCAAACAAGCACCCACCTTCCACTTCCTCTTAGCGTTAAACTTCTTAAAGTTCTTCATGTTGATGGAAGAGCGATTCCTCTTGGCCATCTGCGTCCTTGTGAGAGGCTGAGGGAAAGGAAGAGAGGTTGGAATGTCTTCTAAAATTACAGTAGACTCTAAACTTGGCTGATAATATCAGACAGTATCAAGGTCACACATATCAGTATTGGCAAATGTCCAGGTATTACAGCTTTTAGAGGCTGGTTCTAAGGAACATACACCTCAGAGAAAAAACAGTGATACAGGCTCGACTGAACAAAACATAATCATTAGAGATAGTACAATACCACTTTTTCTTTTATGATACTGATTCTGTTCTTTTTCATTAAAAACTACCAAGCTTATAATGAGCTATTGAAGCACTTCACTTAAGATAAGCATCTAAAAGTAGACTATCATACTCAAACTACTCAAACACTCAATGACCTCACAGGAAGAAATGCACAGCTAACATCATCACATCACGCAGTGTGAGTGTGTGCTATTTCAGGATAGATCTGTTACAGGATGGGATCTGATTGTTCCTTTTCTCCTTCTCATCCAGCATTTCTAGCTGATACCAGCTCAATATTGATATCCATTGATACTGATACGCCATGTCGGTATAAGAATTATGGTTGAATTAGCAGTTTAAAGCCCCTTAAGCCCCTTTCACACTCAAAACCACAGACAACACCAGGTTACTTTGAACAATAATGTTGAGGCTTTGCATCTTTCACACATGCAGCTCTTAAATGGTATGTTAATGTGCACATGTTCTTACATGCCTAAAAATTCCAGTGAACAGGATGCAATATTCTTAGTTTAAAAGGACAAAAGGTCCTTCCAAAACAAAAGAAAAATTGCCAGTTCTCTGTAGAATCATGTACAAAATTCACTCATGTTTTCACTTGCAAAACTAAACTAAAACAATTATCTGTAAAAAAGCATCACAGAAATGTTCCGCTTTGGCAGCTGTAGTCTAGACGTCATTGGATTTCCCGGTGATGTATTGATTTCTGTTGACACATGACCTTCCCAGTAATACAGGTACTGTACTGAGTCACATGCAGGTAAATTGTCATGCTAAGTTTATCATCATTTTGATTCTGGCTTGAGTTCCTGTTTAATTACTTTTGAATTACAGTTCAAGTGCATGTGTGAAAGAGGCTTTAAGGGGACCTATTATGCTCATTATCATTTATAATTTCATTGTTTGTGTCTACTAGAACAGATTTACACGCTTCAGTGTTCCAAAAACACACTACTTTTCTCATACTGTACATCTCTATACACACTCTGTCTGAAACACGCTGTTAGATCTCCTGTGTCTTTAAGCCCCCACCGATGAGCCCAGTATGTTCTGATTGGTCAGCTAGCCCACTCTGTTCTGACTGGTCAACCAGAGCAGTTCTGCCCCTTTATGTTCTGCCCCTGCCTTGAAGTCTGCAGACAGACCCTTCTCTCTTGAGCAACCGTAAACACTGCTGTGGCTATTTTTCCAGTAGCATCGGTTCTGCCGTGTCAGTTTAAGCCAGTTTCCAATCCTGACAGTCAGGTCAACGTCTTCACAACATGCCTACAAAACTGAACACAATCCCAGCCTCCAGTAGCTGCTATGCATTGCACTAAGGTGTGCCAAGCTTGCCAGTAGGTAGGCAATAAGGACTGTGTTACAAGATTGCGTTACCTTGTAACAAAGGAAAAAGGATGGAATTTCAACAAGTGTTCAAGGCAGCTGAGACGTGGCGTATCTTTGCGCTTTATAACTTTGCAGACCATTTACATGCACAAAAAGCTACATAACACACTAAAGAAAAAGGGAAAAAACATAATACGTCCCTTTTAAACTTCACCTGTAGTATGATTATTATGGCTGGGTATCATCCAAAAATTCTGATATCAGCACCATTACCTTCAATACCGTTTTCTGAACGATCCTTTTTTCAATGCCTTCTTATTTATAAACCAGACGTGGGTGTGGCTTAAACCACAAATGAGTGAGAGGAGCCATAAATGGGTATATTTATGGACCGTAACAGATTGCAGAGGAACCCAAAGGTACTGATGTTAACAACATGCACACAAAATGTAATTTACATGACCAATCAGCAGTCTGTTTTTTTGAAGAAGCATGCTTATTGGCTCACAGATGCTGACAACACTGACTGCTTAGGCACTCAAATTTGGTATTAATTAACAGAATTTTTGATACTTAGAATCATACATAAAAACGTAGAATTGAAATAATTCAGTCGGTAGCATGAATGCATCGAATTGTCATACCCAGCCCTAATGAGGCTATTGTTCTAGGAATAGAATCAATGAAAATTGTATTAAAAAATACTGGCAAGTGCTAAAATATATTATTTAAGATCAAGTTTATACTATTCATTTAAGTTTAAGAAATATGAAAATTGTGAACTGACACAATCATATTTGACAATTCATAGTTGACAGCTGATAATTACATGTCAGATAAGCACTGTTTAACTAAACCTACAGGAGTTTAATTTTGACCATATAGAATTTTTGACCATATAAAACGATTCCAGCTATGATTATCAGTAAAAGGCAATGATGGTTCAACAGATCTTCTCACCTTGATCCAAGGGTGAATCAAACACTCCTCCGCTGACATCCTCTCCCTGCATGTGTGAAAGCACACACACAAACACACATAATTATAGAGAATGAGATGCAGGAGTGAATATTACCAATTGGCAAAACAAATGATTCACACTCAAGCGCAGACATGAGCACAGCTGTTTTCAACAACACATATGGCACTATGTTTTACAGAATCCCCAGAACAAAACTACCCCTCTCCATCCATATGAGTAACAGCAGGCACATAAGAGATATGAGGCTCATGAGGTAGTGTAATGGACCGTTCTGCTGAATTAGTTCAACCTGCAGTCCCACACTATTTAAAAAAAGCAATTATGTTTTCAGACCCTAGATATTTACAGGCATTATGTTATGATCACATAACAGCATTTACAGAGATAGTAATAAGCAAAATATATACAAAAACCATTATTTTTAGGGCTCAGTGTGTGAAAATAACACATTTTCTGTATTTTTGTTCAACATTGTTTTTAAAAGACCTTTTTCAATTTGTCAAAAGTTTTATCATGAGTTTCATTTATGCAGTCCCACAACTGACACACAAAGAGTTTTAGTCTATAAGCAGAGCCTTATTTTAGCCACACCCCTGCATTTACTGCATACTGTACCAGTATATCCCGTGTACTGCATACTGTCCGAGTATGTACTGTATACTGTACCAGTATATACTGTATACTGCGCACTGTACCAGTATATACTGTATACTGCGCACTGTACCAGTATATACTGTATACAGCAGTATGTTTTACATTTTCTACAGGTATTTTTCCTTTTATTGAATTTATGTATGCATAAAGGGCTGAAAGAGGGGCTATTAAATTGTTCAGAGCAAACTAGTCACTTATGTCAGTGGTTATGTCCTCCTGAAATGACCGCTGAATGGCAATGCATTCTCGGACACGGTTTATCACGAAGACAGCTCTGCTGGAATGTTTGGCTGGTGCAGTATGTGTAACACCTATCTTTGCTGTAGTGGAGAAATTCGTGTTGGTCATGTATTGCATATAACTTACTCCTATTGGGCCTTAACAGTAAACGAGCAGTATGTAATAGGTTTTTTTCTGAATACAACCAGTGTTTTGTGGACTAACATAACAGATATACATAACAACAACATAGTGAGTGATACATGATAGTCACCTCTGATCTTTTACCAGCAGTTTCTGGATAAAATCTTTGGCCATAGAGCTGGTGCGGCTGAAATAGTGTGGTTCAAACTCGTAGTTCATTGCCACGATGTTCTTCAGTGTCTCCTCATCGGTCTCTCCTTGAAACGGGGACAGGCCGCTCAGCCTGAATGGTTAAAGCAATACTTCACCCAAAAACCACCAATGTAACCAACAGCCCATGCAGAATAAACACATATATACACATATATACATACACACACACACACACACACACACACACATATATATATATATACATATATATATATATTTTTTTTTTCCTCAAATATGTGCAATGTATGTCAATATATGTGATGTACAGAATCAAAATTCCACATGTATTTGCTCTACATCAAGATATATTATATATTAATTGTAACAGAGGGGCTGTAGTAACAGGTGCTAAAAAGTGATGTAAAACACAATTCATTCAATACAATAAAAGTACTTCATTTAAGATGTATTTCTCTTATTGCTTATTTTAGGAGGCTGTCTTGTAACTCTGTGTTAAAACTAAACCCACCATGTGAAGGCTGTACTTTAGCCCTGAGCTGTTTATCTGTTTTAAAATGATTCTACATTACAGTCACCAAGATACTGAATAAAATAAATTAGAAACAAATTCTGTAACTCCTAAAATGAAAAAAAAAAAATCTAAGATTGCTTTTATGGCACAAAAACTATCTATCTGATTGTGGTTACAGTTCACAGATGGTGTTGCTATGGGAATACAAGTATATGACCGAAAGCACATTCTATTGAAGCTGTTTAACTACCTAAAATATCAATAGTACATTTTATCTTTTGTTAAGTTGTGCCTCGCTCTCCCCTACTAATCTTTTAAAAACATATTTTCCACATGGTGTGGTTTTCTTTTTCTATTTGTCTTTCTCTTCGAAGTCTTTCTATTTGAACAACGATATACTGGTTTAGGTTTTCAGAGACATCAAGGAAGATAATTCAATTTCAATTATTTCTTTAAGACGTCAACTTGATAATCAACATTAATCAAAATCATGCTAGAAAACATTTGCACTTTGAAATAAACACAACTGAATTTGTGTTTCAATAAATAAAAGTACTGTATATTGGCATACTTTGGGAAACACATGTAAATATGTTTCCTTTGTGCATGCGAATGCATGAAAGCCAGTAGAGATCAGATAGCATTATCAAAGTTGGATAAGGCCATTACACACGAAACATGACGCAAATAAGTGTTGAGAGTTTTTTTTTGCATTAAACCTACACATGGGACATGCCACAGCGTTCTTCTTGAATTTTGCCAACAAACGAGCAGAACATGATTTTGGAGATACAGCTCCACACAATATGAAGCAAAAGAGAATCTCATCTTTTTAATGGTTGTCAAAACATTCTTGTCGCCAGAAACAACTGTGATGGGTTCAGCGAGTTCATATCGCCTGAGAAACTTTGCAAAAAAACAAGGCCGCATTTTCGCCGTCCGAATTTGGTGTGCAAGATATCATACGTGGTATCCATGCCCTAATTAATTAATTAATGTAGAAATTCATCATGCTTGGTGTGTAAAGGCATTAACATGTCCACACTGGCATTTTGAGAGATGTATTCTTTCAAGAGAAGATTTTCTTTGTGGAGCTTTATGATTTACGGCACTTTATACTTAACGAACTATCCATGCTATCAAATGCATCCACACACACAACAGTTTAAGTCAGAATACTATTGCACATAAATTGCCAAGTATATGGTCTAAAGTACTATAACACAATGTATTCATTAATAAGATGCAAACTACTTTGCACTTTCTGTATTTTTTTAGCTCATTACATTGATTTTTACTTCTAATTAATTTTTTATTCATATTTCATCTACATATGTTATCTTGTATGGTATGTATGCTTCTGTAACACCTACATTTCCCAGCAGAGATAAATAGTAGTATCTTTTTCATAACATATCTACTAAATGGGAAGAACCCTTCGCGTTTCCTATTTCAGTTGTTCCCCATTTTCAGTTGGGGGGGGGGAGGTCTCTACACACAGCAGTGTTTCTGCTATTCAGCTACACTGACAGTCATGATCTTTAAAGGAATAGTTCAGTGAAAAATCTCATGTACAAAGCTTTCTCCTTACAATAAACACAAGTGATCAGCCAAGACATGTTTGTTGTCTAAAGTTAGCTTCTTTGGAGCTACAAGGCTAACATAGCTAAAACAGTAATGGATGTCTATGACACCCAAAATCTTTTGGCTGACGTAGACTTCTACTACACATATTACTTGTACTGCACCTTTTACTGAAGAGGCAGTCCTTAGATACCAAACATTTTTTGATCAGCTACGTTTGGGATAAGGAGAAAATAGATCTTGTTCCAAACCCTTCCTTTAACTGTATATTTTAGTTTCTTTAATCAACTCTGAGGTCTCAGAATAAGTCCCCTTATTCAAATAGAGACAGGAGGAAATTCTGGACTAATCTCTGAATTTCATGTTTAGTCTGGCATTTGCACAAATTCATCCCATGGTAGCTGACCTACAACCGTCAACAAAAGCATCTCTCGCTCAGCAGAATGCTTCACTTCTGAGAACAGCTGTTCACATTTCAATATCTGGAGTCTTTCCTTGGAATTCGGGGTGAGGTGGGAGTAGTTTGCCTGTAAGAATTTTCACTAGCAGGAACTGTATGGGGAAGAATAGGCACTTACAGAATGTAGGTGATGACGCCAATGCTCCTGAGAAAAGAAACACATGAGAGAACATTCTTTCACTTCTCACATCCTAATTGTGGAACAGGTAGGGCAGTCATAAAGCCCATGAGAGAAACTTTCTTTCAGCACAAAAAGTGAAGTGAGCCAAATACAGTCATACAGTGACAGACCTTCTGTGGTTTTGACTTCAGATTGCCTTGAATATGATACAATAAGCATAAGCATTTTAAACAGCAGCTGCCCTTTACATTGTGTGAACATTTAATGACATAAGCTAAAAGAAATGGTTTCAAATTACTTGAAACCATTATTGTGTTAATGTATTGTGTTATTGTATTGTGTATTGTGTTAATGTATTGTGTTACATTACCGTGCATTCATTTTAAGAAAGTTTTATCCTTCTGTTATCATGTTACCACTTCAGAGATACAAGACAGTAATGATACACCAGTGAGACAAAACATTACGACCACTCACAGATAAAGTAAATAGCGCTGTTTATCTTATAACAGTGGCGCATGTCACATTCTGGGATACATTAGACGGTAAGCAGACAGTCGGTTTTCGTGGTCAATGTGTTGGATTAGGGAGAAATAGGCAAATGGGCGAATCTGACAAGAGCCAAATCGTTATGCTCAGACAACTGGTTCGGAGCACCTCTAACATGGCAAGGCTTGTAGTGTGTGGAATTAACCGACAATGGTCCAAAGAGGGACAATGCACAAACCGAAAGCTCATCAATACATATCTTGTCTGAACCAATAGAAAAATTACTGCGGCACAAGTCAGAGAAATTTTTAATGATGGTTATGGGAGGAATGTGTAACACCATAGTGCATCACGTGTCCTGCAAATAGGACGACATAGCCGGAGAAAGAAAGTGCCTACAATTGGCATGTAAGCGTCAGAACTGGCCCTTGGAGCAATTGAAGAAGCTGGCTTGGTCCAATAAGTCTTGCTTATTTCTGCCTCACGTGGAGGGCCAGGTACACGTGCACTGTTTACCTGGGAAAGTGATAGCACTAAGATGCACTGTGGGAAGAAGACAAGGGAGGGAGTGTGATGCTCTGGGCAATGCTCTGCTAGGAAACCCTGGGACCAGGTATTCATGCTGACATCAATGTCACACGTGCCTACGTAACATATACATTGTTGCGGATTAGGTACACCCCTTCATGGAAATGATGTTCCCTGATGTGGCCTCTTTCAGCAGAGTAATGTGCCCTGCCACACTGCACACATTTTTGGGGAATGATTTGAGGAACATGAAGAAGAGTTAACGGTGTTTCTCTGTCCCTCCAAGTCCCCAAGATCTCAATTAGATTAAGCATCAGTGGAATGTGCTGGGACATCAGCTCTGATCCATGGTGGCTCCACCTCACAACTTACAGGACTTTTACTATTAAAGTCTTGGAGCCAGATACCACACACATGTGGGCACCTTCAAAGGTCTTGTAGACTTCATGCCGCGGCAGGACATGGAGGACCAGCAGCACATTAGACAGGTCATAATGTTTTGCTCATCTGTGAATATGTGACTACATGGCCATTATTTCTGACAATATAACAGTGTTGGCACAAAACCTTGTATATGTATTTTTGTGATTTTAAACTGCTTTTTAGCATACTTTCAAAATACCAGCTGCCAGGGATGCGGAAAGTTAGGGTCCTGAGGGGGCTTCAGCACCCCCAGATTTCAGGACTGTATAACTGCAACTGCTAAAAATGATTTAAAACATAATCTGAGCATTAAAAAAACCTTTGTGTGTGTGTTTTAGGGTGAAGTTTGTATTTCAATTTTATCTTTTATTTATATATTTTCAAACACAATTGGTTACTGTGTCAAATATCAACAATTTCATTGGTCACAGCTCAGCTCATTTGCATCAAATAGAACAATAGAAGGCAACATAAGCCTCAGCGATGTCCATGTTGCCATCTCTCGTCACATTATGACATTCTATCTGACATAATTTATCAAAAATATCAACCTAAAACTTCATACCCCAAACTCAAAACACCTTACCGCATCCCTGCCAGCTGCAGTTTACAAAGTGTGAAAATTTCATTGTGAATGGGCCAATAGTATAAGTCTGAAATAATGTGGAATCAAATCTTGCTACATTACCCTTTTTCTCAGTTGCTTAAACAATTTTGTTAATTCAGAAACCATTTTCTCAAACTAGATAACAGATTATAATAAACAGAGGCATTTTGGCCAGAAACGGCATTTTGCAAACATTCTTTTGCTTCACTAAAGAAAAGGAAACTTTTTTATCAAACTGTATGTCTGTGCTGTCTGCTTTACTATCTGCTGATACTTTACTGTAAATAATTCTAGAATGTGCCAAAGTGTGAGAATATCATATCACAGGAATCAGTGGAATCTGTTCTTTTCTCTTAAGTAGTTTTACCAGAGACAATTCAGTGCAGTGTATTGTATAAGCCCCCACAAACAAAAAAAAAAGATTTCACCCAACATATTCAGAAACAAATATATTTATTTCCTATTTGTCATTATTTGGAATCATGTTGCTTTATACAATTCTCACCTTTTTTCTGTGAGTATAGAAAAATTCAGAAACAGATGTTTCTTAATATGTTAGGTAAAATCTTTTTTTCTTTAATGGGTGGAGGGTGTGTGAAAGACATGGAACCAGATTCATAAACCTTGCATGGTAAATAAGAGCTATTCATAAAGTGAGGCAATGATTAGCGCACTGGTGTCTTTTTAACACTGGTATTTTCACCGGTGTCCTAGAAAAGAGCCCATGAAAATCCATATGCAAACGAGCACATACATAATAAAGACCCACGCCAAGTGAAGCTCCAGTTGGCCAAAGAAATGAAAACAAAGAAACAAAGAAAACCAAGTTTCAGAAACAGAGCTATGAATTTTAAGCGAAGAAGTGCTGACAAATAATAGTAAACTGTTGAATACAAATATTTACAACTTGTAATCAAGAGACAAAGTTGTATGAATCTGGCCTGTGGTGTCTAAAACCTCTTTTATCAATGCTTACATCAGCAACTGATGATGACTGATTGCTCAGTTAACAACTGTCCATTATGTAGTTCACTCAGAGCTATGAGAGCACTTTCTATAAACTGTCGCTACATGTTTTCCTTCTGCTTTACACAGATATCCAATAAATGGTTGTTGAACCCATTTTTGTTAAATGTGTTTTAGCAATTTTGAAATCTTTAACTCTGGTAGAGTCCATTGTCTGAAGGTTTTACAGTCTTAATAAACATGTTTGTCATTATATCAGTCAGTTGTACACAATGGCAGTCTTACCTGTTCCTCATCTGATTAATACTTGTCTACTGTCTTCTTTATGCATGCTTACAGGCAGCAATGGATGTATACTGAGGCAACGATTAGGCAAGTATTTGCCCCTCACTCGATTTCTTCAATTTTTGCTAATGTGTCACATTTAAATGTTTCAGATCATCCAACTAATTTTAATATAAGACAATGAGACAATGAGAGTAAAAACAAAATGCAGCTTTTAAATGATCAGTTCATTTACTGAAGATAAAAATGTGCTCAAAACCTGTATCACCCATGTGAAAAAGTATTTGCCTCCCTAAACCTGATCATTCATTGTGCCACATTGGCCATAACAACTGCAATCAAATGTTGGTGATAACTTGTGATTAGTCTTTTACCTCACTGCGAAGGAATTATGGCCACTCCTCTTTACAGAATTGTTTTAATTTGTCTGCATTGGAGGGTTTTGAGCATGAACTGCTCATGTAAGGTCTTGCCACAACATCTCAATGGGATTCAAGTCAGGACTTTGACTCGGCCACTACAAAACCTTAATTTTGTTTCTTTTGAGCCATTCAGAGGTGGACTTGCTTGTGTGCTTTGCATCATTATCCTGCTATATAACCCAAATGCACTTGAGCTTTAGGTCACAAACTGATGGGTGGACATTCTCCTTCAGGATTTTCTTATTCAGAGCACAATTCATGGTTTCATCCATTACGAAAAGTCGTCCAGGTCCTGCAGAAGCAAAGCAGCCCCAGACCATCACACTACCACCACCATGTTTGACTGTGGGTATGATGTTCTTATGGTGGAATGCGGTGTTAGCTTTACGCCAGATGTAACATATCCCAAGTTTTCCAAAAAAGATTCACCTTTGACTCATCAGTCCACAGAATATTATCACAAAAGTCTTGGGGATCATCTAGATGTTTTTTAGCAAATACAAGACTAGCCTTTGTGTTCTTTTTGGTCAGCAGTGAGTGGTTTGCACCTTGCAACTCTCCGATGGATGCCATTTTTCCCATTGTGGAATCGTGTACATTGACCTTAACTGAGGCAAGTGAGGCCTGCAGTTCCTTAGATGTTCATCTGGGTTCTTTGGTGACCTCCTTGATGAGTCGGTGATGTGCCCTTGGTGAAATTTTGGTAGGCTGGCCCCTCCACCACTGTTCCAAGTTTTCTCCCTTAATGCATAATGGCTCTCACTGTGGTTCGCTGAAGTCCCAGAGCCTTAGCAATGGCTTTGTAAGCCTTTCCAGTCTGGTAGATTTCAATGACTTTATTTTGAGTCTGCATTTGAATCTCTTTAAAACGTGGCATAATGTGCTTCACTTTGCTAGACAGGTTCTATTTAAGTGATGTTTAGATTCAGCAGGTCTGGTAGTAATCATGTCTGGGTGTGGCTAATAAAATTGAACCCAATAGAACCCAAATAGTGTGACAAACATGCAAAAATGGAAGAAATTGGGAAGGGGCAAATACTTTTTCACAGCACTGTAAATAGTGCTGTGATGGTGCAGAAAGTAGATAGAACTATGAGAGCATTTTTTAATAAGCTGTAACTACAAAATTTACCCTTATTTCACTCAGTTATCCAATGAGCTTTTGAGTTTTTGTGCGGAATCAGTTTAAAAAAAAAGTTTTTGAAAAAGTATGTGAAAAATGAGTGAAAGCGATGAGAACGTGTTAACACACTTGCAGAATGACACTTCTGCTTTGCTAAGAACGTGACAGTGAAGATTAAGTTGAGCCCAGTTCTGTTAAGTGTGTTTCAGCATCAGAAAAACACTGTAACTTCCATTAAAAGTTAGAGTGTTTTTCCTTCTACTGATTTCAGAGATGAAAGGTTTTGCCCCAATAGTGACAGTACATGTATGAGCTAAGATTAGGCATTGGAAGAACAAAGCTGTTCAAATATAAAACCATGAGTGAGTGTTCTAGATCAGACGACAGCTGGGTGCATTTTTATTGTTAGCATGAAGAGTGAAGTTCTATATTCAGCATGCATGTGGGCAGGTGTGGTCAGGTCTGAGCCTGTCAGAAATCAACCCTGAGGCATTCGAAGACAAAGTAGAGTTTCAGAAGAGCTGCAGCAGCAGCCAGTCTTTACTGTCACTGTGTGTTTGTGTGTGTGTGTGTTAGATGCAAACTATGTTTACTCACCACATATCTGCTGCTGTGCTTAGGGGTTCAAAGTTGATGATCTCAGGGGCTAGAGAGAGAGAGAGCGAGAGAATAATAGGGACAAAGAGCAAGCAAGACAGGAATAGAGAGAGAAAGACAGTCAAAGAGAGTGTGTGAGAGAGGGAGAGAGAATAGGGACAGAAAGAGAGACATAAGGAGACAAAGAGAGAGAGAGGGAGAGAGACAAAGAGCGAGAGAGAGGGAGAACAGGGACAGAGAGACATAAAAAGACGGAGAGAGAGAGAGAACAGGGTTAGAAATAGAGACATGAAGAGACAGAGAGAGAAAAAGAGAGAGTAATAGAGACAAAGAGCAAGCAAGACAAAAATAGAGAAAGATAACGAGTCAAAAAAACAAGTGAGAGACAGAAAAAAGTCAGAGGAGGACAGAGAAAGTGAGAAACAGAAAGAAAGAAAGAGAGCAAGAAACAGTGTTTGAGAAAAACAGAAAGAGAGAAACAGACAGAGAGCAAGAAACACAGAGAGAGAGACATAGAGAGATAGATAGAGAGAAATGGGGACAGAGACAGGGACAGATGGAGAGAGAGAGACAGAGAGAGAGAGATAGAGAGAGAGAGAGAGAGAGAAAACAGTTAAAGAGAGAAAGACATAATAAACATAAAATATTTGGACCATTTTTTCCATATTTTATACCATTTCTATGGGCTGATTCATCCGAGACAGAGAAAACAGTGTGTGTTTATGTGTGTGTGTGTGAGAGAGAGTAAGAGAGAGAAACAGAGAGACAGAGACAGAGAGAGAGAGAGAGAGAGAGAGAGAGAGAGAGAGACTGTGACTGCTTTTTAGTTACAAACTCTGTCGGCATTTATAAGCAAATACAGTCCCAAACTTTGACATTGCTCTGTATTATGTAACCACATTCATAACAGTAGCTCAAACATTATGAAACATATCAGTGTCACATAATCAATCTATCAGCTGACAAACTTTACACTGTACATTAGTCTGGTAACACAAACTTCATATTCCACAGCAGAGGCTCTGTCTAGTTCATGTTCAAAATGTTATCTCAGATCACCTCACTTGGTGAGACTCCAAACTCAGCTACCATGGCAACCTTATCATGCTAATTAATATTCCAGATAAGAGAGTTTGATATCACTTCACCTCCAGTTCACTTTCAGCTGCAGTATTGAATTAGAACATTTCTCACAGTGGTGCAGGCTTCGCTCTCTCAGTAAATGTGTTTTGCTGAAGCTGTGGGTTTATGTAGACAAGAGCAACACTGTGTGAGCAAGAGTGTGTGTGTGTGTTTGTGTGTGTGAGTAAGCTTGCTGTCATCGTTGATGTTCTTCAGCGAACGTTGATTGCTGCTGGGTGAGCCACAGGATGTGTGCGTGTTCGCGGCACACAGCTTTAAAGCGAGAGCAGCAGAATTAGATGGCACGTTTTTTACATAATCATCATCACCAGCCATCGAACAAAAGCCCATTTCTGTTCGTTTCTGTCCACTCATCTCTCACCCTGACCAAAAGTGCCGTGTCACTTTCTGAACTTTCACTCGTCTCCATGGAGACGACGGGGACCTGGAAATGCTGCTCTGCTCCGAAGGCAATGAAAATCAGATGCAGACACACATAATTCTGTACATGTTCTCTCCCTTAAGCGTGAAATAACAGTTGTTTTTTTCACTGGACTGCATCACTTACCAATGTACTGAGGGGTGCCACCCATGCTTTTGTACTCCTCTCCTTGTATGAAGCAGTGGGCCATGCCAAAATCGATAATCTTGATGTCTGGATTGGGGGCTCGCTTATCCGACAACATTATATTTTCAGGCTGAGGGAAGAAGAAAGATTTTAAGCATCTAAGCACACTGTTTAAAACCATTTATCTTGGCAATAAATGTATTTTTGTTTGTTAAAACACCATATACCATTAGAATAAACACAACTAAACATAAATACAGTAAAACGTAACAAGCATTTCTTATTTTGAAAAAAATAGTTGACATATTGTGAGCTAGTATGAAGAACAAAGTTTGGTTCCAGATTTCTCCTGAACGCCTCGGGCCAGCCCATGGATTTGTTAAATTCCACCATAAGCACACTTTTAATTTACCAAACCAGGTGTTGGATGGTAATCATTGTTAATACTGGGCTGCCATAAAGAGAGGTTTGGAAATGGTTAAGCAAACACTGCCATGCACTGTATGGACAAAAGTACTGGGACACCTGCACATTACACCTACAGTAGCTTTCATGACATCACATTCTAAATCTGCAGGCATTAGTATGGAGTTGTTCCCCAAGCTGTAACAGTGTCCACTCTCCTGGGAAGCTTTCTACAAAATTTTGGACTGTGTCTGTGGGAATTTTTGCCCATTCATCCAGAAGAGCATTTGTGAGGTCAGACGCTGATGTTGGACGAGAGGTCCTGGTTCACAAGCTCTGTTCTAGTTCATCTCAAAGGTGTTCGACTGGGTTGAGGTCAGGGCTCTGTGCAGGCCAGTCAAGCTCTTCCACACCAAACTCACCCATGCCTTTATGGACACTGCTTTGTGCACTGGGGCTCAGTCATGCTGAACAGAAAAGGGCCTTCCCTGAACTGTTCCCACTAAGTTGGAAGCATATAATTGTCCAAAATGTCTTGGTACGTTGAAGCATTAAGAGTTCCTTTCCCTGGAACTAAGGGGTCTAGGCCAACCCCTGAAAAATAACCCCATAACATTATCCCTTCTCCACCAAACTTTACAGCTGGCACAATGCAGTCAGGCAGGTAATGTTCCTCTGGCATTCGCCAAACCCAAACTCGTCCATCAGACTTCCAGATAGGGAAGTGTGAGTCGTTACACTTGGTGTCCAGTGGCAGTGTGTTGGCCCACGTCCGGCACTATGCATTTTGATCCTAGGCTTGAATGTAGCTGCTCGACCATGGAAACCCATTTCGTGAAGCTCCTAAAGCACAGTTCTTTTGCTGATGTTTCTTCCAGAGGCAGTTTGGAACTCTTTAGTGAGTGATTCAAGAGAGGATAGACAATTTTTATGTGCTAAGAGCTTCAGCACTTGCTAGCCTCACTCTGTGAGTTTGCATGGTCTACAGCTTTGTGGCTGAGCAGACAGGCACCGTGGTGCTTCCATTTCACAATGATAACACTTACAGTTGACATGGGCAGATCGAACAGAACAGAAATTTCACACACTCACTTGTGGCAGAGGTGGCATCTTATGACAGCGCCATGTTTAAAGTCACTGAGCTCATCAGTACGTGAGCTCATCAGTAAGACCCATTCTACTACCAGTGTTTATCTATCAAGAGTGCAAGACTGTGTGCTTATTTTTATCCTCCTGTTTGCGATGGGTGTGACAGACACACCTGAACTAAAAAATTAGAAGGGGTGTCCCAATACTTTTGTCGATTTAGTGCATGTAAATATACTACTTACTGTACTAATGTAATTTGTATTGGTAATGTTAATTGCATTTGTATTCTAATGAGTGTTTTTCTGAGCACATAAATGCTTGCTGCCCAGAAAATGTGCTTTTTAATCATTTTGAGGCGCCTACACTTTTGCACAATACTGTATATAATAAACATAAATGAATAAAAATATATATACTAGAATGCCTTTCATCTGTTGAAAAAAGATTACTTTGTAGGAGAAGGGACATAAAGGTCTTCATTATACACTGCTCAAAAAAATAAAGGGAACACTCAAATAACACATCCTAGATCTGAATGAATGAAATATTCTCATTGAATACTTTGTTCTGTACAAAGTTGAATGTGCTGACAACAAAATCACACAAAAATCATCAATGGAAATCAAATTTATTAACCAATGGAGGCCTGGATTTGGAGTCACACACAAAATTAAAGTGGAAAAACACACTACAGGCTGATCCAACTTTGATGTAATGTCCTTAAAACAAGTCAAAATGAGGCTCAGTATTGTGTGTGGCCTCCACATGCCTGTATGACCTCCCTACAATGCCTGGGCATGCTCCTGATGAGGTGGCGGATGGTCTCCTGAGGGATCTCCTCCCAGACCTGGACTAAAGCATCCGCCAACTCCTGGACAGTCTGTGGTGCAACGTGACGTTGGTGGATGGAGCGAGACATGATGTCCCAGATGTGCTCAATCGGATTCAGGCCTGGGGAACGGGCGGGCCAGTCCATAGCTTCAATGCCTTCATCTTGCAGGAACTGCTGACACACTCCAGCCACATAAGGTCTAGCACTGTCCTGCATTAGGAGGAACCCAGGGCCAACCGCACCAGCATATGGTCTCACAAGGGGTCTGAGGATCTCATCTCAGTACCTAATGGCAGTCAGGCTACCTCTGGCGAGCACATGGAGGGCTGTGCGGCCCTCCAAAGAAATGCCACCCCACACCATTACTGACCCACTGCCAAACCAGTCATGCTGAAGGATGTTGCAGGCAGCAGATCACTCTCCACGGCGTCTCCAGACTCTGTCACGTCTGTCACATGTGCTCAGTGTGAACCTGCTTTCATCTCTGAAGAGCACAGGGCGCCAGTGGCGAATTTGCCAATCCTGGTGTTCTCTGGCAAATGCCAAGCGTCCTGCACGGTGTTGGGCTGTGAGCACAACCCCCATCTGTGGACGTCGGGCCCTCATACCATCCTCATGGAGTCGGTTTCTAACCATTTGTGCAGACACATGCACATTTGTGGCCTGCTGGAGATCATTTTGCAGGGCTCTGGCAGTGCTCCTCCTGTTCCTCCTTGCACAAAGGCGGAGGTAGCAGTCCTGCTGCTGGGTTGTTGCCCTCCTACGGCCTCCCCCACGTCTCCTGGTGTACTGGCCTGTCTCCTGGTAGCGCCTCCAGGCTCTGGACACTACGCTGACAGACACAGCAAATCTTCTTGCCACAGCTCGCATTGATGTGCCATCCTGGATGAGCTGCACTACCTGAGCCACTTGTGTGGGTTGTAGAGTCCGTCTCATGCTACCACGAGTGTGAAAGCACCACCAACATTCAAAAGTGACCAAAACATCAGCCAGAAAGCATAGGTACTGAGAAGTGGTCTGTGGTCCCCACCTGCAGAACCACTCCTTTATTGAGTGTGTCTTGCTAATCGCCAATGATTTCCACCTGTTGTCTATTCCATTTGCACAACAGCATGTGAAATTGATTATCAATCAGTGTTGCTTCCTAAGTGGACAGTTTGATTTCACAAAAGTTTGATTTACTTGGAGTTATATTGTGTTGTTTAAGTGTTCCCTTTATTTTTTTGAGCAGTGTATGTTAACGTAATGTAATGTAAGTTTCTAGCATTGCTCTAGATGATATTGCAAGCTTCAAAATAATCTCTTAAGCCTTCAAAATTAAAACACTTCGCAGTTTAATTGAAAGCATGATCACAGAAAAATGAATTACTCTGTGTGAGCCGAATGCTTATTTTTCTATTATTATTAATACTACTCTCATAGGCTTTTGGTAAATGAGATCCAGAAGACTGTGGACACACCCTTTTCTGTGCCTTAGGAAACACATTCTTCACTAAACATGTTCAGATGCTGCATGCAGGTTAAATGTCTCTGATAAATAAAATGTATACGCTAATCAAAAGGAATAAGTCTTGCTTACAGCTACGTACAGGGTTGCTTCACCCTTATACAAGCTGCTATAGCTGTCATGTAGGAAACAAATAATGTCAGGGACATACAGACTTACAGCTGTAATACTTAACTATTAAGATGTAGTAAACAAATGATGTCAAACACACAGAGCTGTGAAAAAGTGCCATGATTTCTTCTATTTTTGTGTATTTGTCACACTTAAATGTTTTAAAATGTAATATGACAAAAATAACCTTAAGACAAAATACAGTTTTTACTTGATAAATAAATTTAGTGGATATTCAGGATCAGTTAAACTAGATACACCAGGACTGATTAGCATCAGTCCTTTCGAATCTAAAAATCACTGAAATAGAACCTTTTCAGCAGTATGAGAGAAGCTACAAGGTCTCAACAAGCAGCATACTATGCCATGACCAAAAGCAGCTCTGGAAAAGAGAAAGATGTATTGAAATATACATATGGAACTGCTTACAAAGCCATTTGAGATTCCAGCGAACCACAGCGAGCACCATTATCTCCAAATGGAAAAACTATTTAACAGCAGTGAATCTTCCCTAAAGCAGCTTGGCCTACCAAAATACACAGCGACAACTCATTCACGTCGTCACAAAAGAACCCAGACGAACATTTAAAGAACTGCAGGCCTCGCTCACCTCAGATAAGGTCAGCGTTCCTGATTCCAACATTAAAGAGCTCATTTCACATTTGCCAAAAAACGCCTTGATGATCCCCAAGCCATAGGAATCATTTTCCATAGACTGATGAGTTGAAAGTGGAAGGAGAATGTCCAGTCACCAATCCATGAGATGAAGCTCAAGGGCAACTGTGTTATGCAGGAAGACAATCATCCAAAGCACAAGAGCAAGTCCACCTCTGAATGGCTCAAATGAAACAAAAAGTTTTGAAGTGGCTTAGTTGAAGTCCTCTGAGATGCTGTGGCTTGACCTTAAGTGGGCAATTTACGCTCAAAGGCCCAATGTGGCTGAATAAAGCAATTCAAAAAATTCCCTGAGCAAACAACAGTAGGCCAAATTTCTCCACAGTGATGTGAAACACATATTCCAGTTATACAAAGCATTTGGTTGCAGTTGTTAAAGCTAAAGGTGGCACAACCAGTTATTAAAGGGGAACTCTACCGACTTTGCAAAATTACTTAACCATTCAATGATTTAGATGTAAACAAAATCATTCAGAGTGGTTTGTTGGGAAACACGCCTTTCCAGAGAAATTTACAAAGTCAGAATTGTTCACCTTTATAGTACTAGGAACCAGACATCTGAAGCACCTAATTGCTCTAAAAGCTAAATCCTGTTAAGTTATTACATGAAATGGTTATGAATGCATCGTTTGCTGGGACATAGTTTTGTGATAGTTTTGTTATAAAGTTTTGGCCTAAAATGTATTTTTAATGTAAACTTTTACTCCAGGATTACTTCTGTATTTCCTCTCAAAACCACATTCTCAACTGAGATCAATGCGCAAGCTAACATGCTTTTGTTATTACTAGCCTGTAGCTACAGCCGTTCAAAATGGCTAACGCCACTCTGAATGATTTAATTTACATCTAAACCATTAAATGATTAATTAATTTTGCTAAATCGATGGAGTTCACCTTGAAGTCTAGGAGGGGGCAATGATTTTTTTGTAAAGGTGATATAGGTGTTACAAAACGTTTTCCTTCAACAAATGAAATGATCATTTAAAATTTTATGCGTTTCATGTTTTCTTTGTTTCCTTATACTTTGTATGATAATCTGAAACCATTTATTGTGACAAATATGCAAAAAAACAGTAAATTAAATACTTTTTCACAGCACTGTAAATGTAATATTTAGTCATATTTTAGCCAAAGCAGAAATTATGAACTGCATGAAAATGAGGTGCATCAGGTGTGTTTAATGAGGCAGAATGTCTGCAGTGCTGTGATCTGGGCTGGAGTCTGACACATGGTACATGCATCAATACCTCACAATGTTAGCCTATTCACAATGTACCTTTAAGTCAAAGTGGCCGATGTGTTTGCTGTGCATGTAGCTCACTCCCTCTAGAATCTGCATCAGGAACTCAATGGCCTCCGTCTCAGTCAGGCTCTCCTTCTCAGCAATGAAGTCAAAGAGTTCACCACCTTTAATGCTACATGCGAAAAAGTCACAGAAGACAAACAGTGAATACATGCTTGAAACCAGAGAGAACACAAGTGGTGTATTTTATTCATTGTTTATCTAAAGCAGCGATCGCTAAACCACTTCCTGGAGATCTACTTTCAGACAAGGTTAAGTTCTAATCTTAGTACTCCACTGAGCCACACCTGCTTATCAGTAATGCATTCCCAGAGCAGGGCTGTGGTCCAGGTGGGCACATCTAGACCGCTACGCCATCCTAGGCTGGCCCTATCAGAAGGTTCCTTATACAGCTGAGAAAAGCAGCCTGGCAGTTTTCGAGGACTCAACCAGAAAATCCTTCACAGGAGTAAACTGAATGCAGGTGCACCTGCTTTCAGTGAGTTGAGCAGTTTTTAGCTGCAGGACAGCGTTTCATTACAAATTGTTTTTCCTGCCACATATTACATCATTCACAACGTTCTGCTTTTCATTCACATCAGCAGCATTTTCTTCTTTCTGATGGCAGGGGTAGACCAGTACATTTTGGACTGTTCTATACAAACAAGGAGGCTTTGTAGTCCTACCAAGGACCCACCCTTCTCAGCTGCACCCTAGGTTTTGGAACAGCTTTTTAACCTGTTTAATCCATCATTGTGCTGGCACAGTGAAATCTAATTCTCAGTCTAATTCTTAAATTTACTGTATTAACTCCAATGTTGCTTGTTTTTGTGAGTGTGTTGAAAACGTGTTAAAAGTTTTTTCTCCACTATTTTAGAGTGTTTTTCTCCAATATTTTAGTGTTTTGTCTCTAATATTTTAGAGTATTTTTTCTTGAATATTTCAGCAAGGTTTTGTCTCCAATATTTTGTTTTTTCCAATATTTTAGTGTTTTTACTCCAATATTTTAGATTGTTGTATTTTTTCCAATATTTTTGTTTTTTCTCCAACATTTTAGTGTTATTTCTCCAACATTTCAGTGTTTTGCCTCCAATATTTTACTGTTTTTCCAATATTTTAGTGTTTTTTCTCCAATATTTCATAGTGTTTTTCACCTATATTTCAGTGTTTTTCTCCAATATTTTAGAATGTTTTTTCTCCAATTTTTTAAAGTGTTTTTCTCCAATATTTTAAAGTGTTTTTCTCCAATATTTTAGATTGCTTTTTTCTCCAATATTTAAGCATTTTTCTCAAATATTTTAGCCTGTTATTTCTCCAATATCTTCTACATAGTGCAGATTTAACAAGAATATTTCATTTCATTTATTCATTCAATTAATTTCATTTATTTCTGACACCAATGCAGTGCCGGAAGTCACATTTCTTGTGGAAATAGCTGTGCTGCACGAAGCAATCTTGGCATGAAGGAGTTAAAAGAGCTGTAATTGTAAGATTATGACTGGTAAAAGACTAGCTCAGTTTCTAACACTTCTAAAACGTTTGCCTAACATACCTTTCAACATAAATTCTTGATGACATCACTTTGGCAAACACTACATGTTACATACCACCAGCCGTTAAACACCAACATCAAACTAGAGTCCATGGAGTGGAACCATATGGCAGTAACATTGTAAAACAGCCATGCCTAGGCTGGGATTAAAGCTGGAACGCTAAACATTGTGCTTTGATCCATGGGCAATGCTGATTAACATCATTTTTACTTGGCTCTCATCAAAGTAATCTTCTGTTAATGGGCTGAGCTCTTATTCATCCTTTCTTTTCTCCGTGCCTTCATCTTTCTTGCTTATCAGTGAGCTGCTATTCATCATCCACACTCCCGAGTTCCTGTTTATCTCCTGCTGTCTCCTCACGTCACACATACACAAACACACACACACACACACACACACACACACACACATATTCACACACACACAAACTTACAGCTCTATGATTAGGACCACCTCAGCCCTGCTCTCGAAAACATCTTTGAGGGCCATGATGTTTTGGTGCTGTAGGCTCTGCAGGATCTCCACCTCTTTCTCCACGCTCTTCCTCTCCAGGCCGAGACGGCTTCCCACACCTCGTTTCAGCTTTAGAAACTTTCCAGCCCACAGGATGCCCGTAGCCCGCTCACGCACCTCTCGCACCTGCCCGAAATGACCACTGGGGTGGTGATAAAGGAACATCAGAGTGTTAACCTTATTGAACTGAGTGTATCTTCAGCAATCCATTCTGAGAATTTGGCAATCGCTCCTTAAACTCATTTAAATCTGCTGCAGAAGGAGTCATGGCATGCGCACATCCATGTTGGCCAGGGTGAAATGTATCAGCATGGTGATTCGGTGCTTTTAATATGTGTTAAAGATGCACAGGGCTTCTTTCAGGATGAGCCAAAAGCTCATTCAGAGCGCAATTTAGAGGAGTAAGTGCTTATTACCATTCTGTTTGATCAGAGTAACGATAAAACACTACTCATGTGGGACTAATCCTCTTATTCATGTGCTTGCTTGTTTTAAATGTAGTTTATAAGACAAACTGAATACAAATCTACAAATTTTCAGCTTTTTGAGATTATGCCCTTCATATATCAGATAAACGTAACAGCATTAAGAAATGATCAGTTATTAAAAGAGAAGAGAAGACTAAACAGAAGAAATAGCCATGTTTTAGCGGCGGACTAAATTAAAATTTCCCCTTAACACCTTGTGCCATTGTTACTATTCAATTATAAATCTTGAGATATTATTTATTCACTGTCATTAAAGTAATGCATATTTTCTATAGTTCTAAGAGGAATTAAAAATTTGGACCCACATGTGGGTTCCTGAGGGTAAAAGAGGTTAAGAAAGAAACTAAACAGTTCTATACACTGTAAACCCTATATCGAGTAATGGTCTTAAAATCCTATTCCCTAAGGTAGGGGTGCTCAACTCTGGTCCAGGAGGGCCGGTGTCCAGCAGAGAAAGGAAATCACCTAACTATGCTGGATACCAGCCCTCCAGGACCAGAGCTGAGCAGCCTTGCCTTAAGCTTTTGTTCCAGTTAATCAGCAGCTAATTGGTAGGAACAAAAGTTTGGGCCCACACAGGCCTTCCATAGACAGCATATGACTATTAAAACTCCTTACCTGCCCAGTACCTCTCCGATTTCATAAAGATCCTCAACATTATCCACCTTAAAAACAGCCATCCTGCCTCTGCCTTTCTCCCCCGCCTTTTTTCCTCAGACTTCAGTGATCACAGCGTAGGCCACAGCATTGTTCAGTCCAGATCTGAAAGACAGAGAGGAGTTTTTGACCTTGTTTCTTCTTAACGTTAAAGGTCTTAGCAGTAAAAATGGATAGCAGGGCCCAAAATTAAATAGACATTGAGCATTTAGTCTAATAGACTAGAATAATGAAGCTACTAATTGCATTTAGTTATTTATTTGTTTATGTATTTATATTTTCTTGTGTGTTCATTATAAGAGAATTATAATAAAAACTGTACACATTTCTGAAAGTGGAAATTTAGACAATATAGCTAATGAGTCCATATAGGTTTATGCATTGTTTTGTTTATCTGAATGTACTATGTATGTAAATGTACTGGGTAATTAATTTCCTAATAACATACAGCAAAATTAAAAACTTCCATTTAAAGCTCACATGTGAACTAAAGTTTTAAGCTTCATAGTCCCATGTTTTCAGATACCTCAGACCTTTTTTATCAGGGGTCAGAGTGGATTAGTTGACTTAGGCCTTTCCATCAACAAAGAAAATTCTTAGTCGGGAACCTCCCTACTTTATGACCAAACAAAGCGTCCTGCTCTTAACTTGTGTGCATGTCTTTGAGTTCTCATAAGCTGAGCATTTGGGAGTGCTATTGATTTGACATTTTCTTCAACACACAGGCGAGATTATGCATGTCTTGCGTAACTCAGAGCATGAAACCAAAACCAAATTGTTTAGCACATGAGCCAACTTTTGTCAAAGCCACCACTTCATTACGAAGTGGAACAAGAGTGCAGAGCGCACAAACCAAGACCAGGCAGAAACATTAGCAAAGCCCAGGACAGTTCGTTTCCCATGCAACACAGAGGGTGTTAGCCAACACTTACATAACATGCCCCTTTCCCACATGCACGCATACTTCTGTAATTAGTTTTCAAATGACTGAAATGCTTTCTCTTCATTATTGTGAGCATAAAAACAGAGAGGTCTGAAAAGACAACAAAGAGAGTAAATAAGGGGACAGAGGGGGAGGACAGAGTGCCAGTGCTCTGAAAAGAAAAGACACACTGTTAGATACACAATGAACAGACAGAAGTTGTACAGAGAGACCTGAGATGAGCAGCTGATTGTAAAAGCTAAAAAGCTGAAAGGGAATCTATGTCTGTAGACCTGTATATGAAGATATCCATCTATCAGCCCAACAATTCATTATGTATACAATTCATAAGTAGAACTTGAGGACATATTGGCTTCATTATTATTAAATGAACAACTTACAAAATCTCTGTAATACCGTCTAAGCAATCAGTTCTTGGCCTATAAGACTGTACTGGTCCAAAATCCATGTATTAGACATTTCTTTGATTACATACCCGAATATACAGAGTGTATTAGTGGAATTACACAACATATACAATGTCAGTAAATCTTCTATACACTAACCAGCCACTTCATTAAGTACACCTCCTTGTATCTACACTTGTCCATTATATTAGCTCCACTTACCACACAGGAACACTTTGTAGTTCTACAGTTACAGACTGTAGTCCATCTGTGTCTCTACATACGTTGTTATCCCCCTTTTACCCTGATCTTCAATGGTCAGGACCCCCACTAGACCACCACATAGCAGGCATTATTTAGGCACAGTGGTGGCGTGTTTGTGTGTGTTGTGTACAAGTGAATCAGACACAGCAGCTTGTGGTTGTACTGAATCTTTAGGCCTTATCTTGTGCTGTCACTAATTCAGAAGTGTCAATGACCAAACACTTTGTTTGTATACATATGTGAGAAGATAAGTTAATACAGTGCCCTCCACAAATACTGGCACCCCTGGTAATCATGAGCAAAATGAGCTGTAAAAATATTCCTAATTATTCATTCTTTTCTTTTTTTCATCATCTTTCATTCAAAATATGAACGCAAATCTAACTTTTTATTTAAGGCATAATAATTGAAAAAAAAACTGAGCTAACACTTTATTTGGATAGTCCACTTTAGACACTTTGTAAAAACTTAATTTGCTTTCAAATTACATTCAACTAAATATTACCTGGCTCTAATCCGAATCCGAATCCTAACCCTGACCTTAACCTCAACCCAAAACCTAAAACCAACCCTCACCCTGGTTTCTAGCCCAAATACTGGTCTACACCCTAACCCTAACCCCACCACTGTTCAGAATCAACAGAGTTTCTACAGATAGTTTGTTAATAATTGAATTTAAACATCTGTAGAAAACCTAAAGGGGACTATAGTGGACTATCCAAATAAAGTGAGCCCAAAACTAGTCTCAACAAATCCTGTCATGAAATGAATATTTTTCTTAAATGTATGTGTGCCACAATTGTTGGCACCCCTGGAAATTCTTAAGAGTGAAATCTAATTGAAGTATAAGCCCTTTAAAGTTCACCTAAGTGATTAGGAACACTTAAACGATCAGTCATGACTTCCTGTTTTACTGGAGAATATATATGAGATGAAACACAAGCCAAGTTCCCTCAGTCATCCATCGTTGTGAGAAAGACCTGAGAATACAGCAGTGATGTATGACTAAAGGTTGCTGAGCTGCAAAAATCAGGAAATAGTATAATAGTATATAGTAAACAGTTGAAAATACCCATTTCCACTATCAGCTCAATAATTAAGAAGTTTTAAGTCTGAGAGGAAGAGGATGTATGTCCATACTGACCTCATACATGGTGAGGAGGAAGATTCGAGTGGACAAAGAATCTCTAAGGATCACAGATGCGGAAATTGCAGAAATCAGTTAAGTCTGAACGTCTCCCAAACCACAATCAAACATCATCTACATAAGCACAAGTTGTTTAGGAGAGTTGCCAGAACAAAGCCTCTGCTGTCAAGGGCCAACAATCTCAAGCTCCTACAGTTTGCCAGACGTTTGGATGGCAACACAGACTCAATGAAGTACCAGCAGAAATAAAATCAAAACCTGACTGCCTCGGCCAGGAAGCTTAAACTGGGCCATAGCCTGAATCTTCCAGCAGGACAACGATCCAAAGCAGACCTCAAAATCAACACAAAAATGGTTTACTGACCACAGAATCAAGGTTTTTCCATGTCATGCCAGGCCCCTGACCGAAACCCCATAGAAAACCTGTGGGATGAGCTAAAGAGGGGAGTCCAGAGTCTGGAGAGATTCTGTATGGAGGAATGGTCTCAGATCCTTTGTCATGTGTTCTCCAGTCTCATTAAAGAGTAACTCCACCCCACTATTTTCACCCCTGGTTCAACTTTGAAAAATGCTCAAAAATGGTAGGGGCATGTTGGGAGAGGCACTGCATTGATCTATGGGTTTTCAGAGTTAGCATATGTTAGCTACCAGAAAATATGGAGAGTGACAGAATCAACTGGCACTTGTGCAACTGAGAGTCTTACGAGGCTGACGATTTTTCTCTGCTACCATCCCCTTCTTCAACAAGGGAAGGTGTTTCTGTTTAGGCCATGCGTCTTGAGCCTTAACAGCTATCAGCCACTGACTCAAGCCACCGAAGAGTTAACGTAGTGCCAGAAAATGATTAGCAGCGAGGGGGAGAGGGGTCTGAATGGTAGAACATTCAGTCGCAGACTGCATCACTGGTCAGCCAAGGTTTGCTGCAGTGGCCCTAAATGCTTACGTTCTGCAAGCTGTTCATAGCACATACCAGTGTTATATCCGATTCAGTTCTCACTCAAATTCACGTTTCCCTTCATAAATTGAACTCTCGGGCGCTCTCACTCCCTAAACAAAAATCAACGGCAAGCAACACCGGAACTACAGAAAGCAGGAAAAAAGTTCGAGAAAGGCTGTACGGACGAAAGGTTGACAGTCTTCCATTTAACGTTGACCTTTCCTGAACTGTTTCGCTTTCTGTAGTTCCAGTGTTGCTTGTCATTGATTTCTGTTCAGTGAGTCACGTGCCCGAGAGTTTGAGCTGTGAAGGGAAACGTGAATCCTCACTTAATCAGTCCAGCATCTTTATTACAAACTAAGCTTAGATTAATTGGGTTATTTACAGTTGGTACAGACAGCTGGCATATCACAGCCTTGTGAGGTGGTGCTGGGGGTATTTAGCTCAGCGCTTGAGTGTGGTGATCTCCTTGCTCCAGGGTCCTAGGCTTTCATATTTATGAGTGCGGTGCGAGTAGGGCATCATCAGGGGCGGTAACGTTGTCTGACTGATTTGCATACTGTGATGTGTCATGGTTCTTAGGTACAAAGACACGTCATCCACGCCTATAGCAGAGTTGAACAAAAGGGGCTCTGCAGAGGTGGAACAGTTTGGAAAGATGTGTTCACATTTTAAGCAAGGCTGGTATATTTTATTATTACAGAGCAGTGCAAATCAGCTGTTAGTGAAAAAAAAAAGATCTTAGGGTGTGGTTACTCTTTAAGCATCACAGAAGAGGACTTGTGTGGCACACACAGATTTAAGAAATGAAAGATCAAAAGGATAAGCGATAAAGAATGTATTTTACAGTCTGCTCATATTTACAAGGGGTGCCAACATTTGTGGAGGGCACTGTATAGCACTTCTACCGCAGACATACAGATAAAGAGATACTGAAGATTTAAAAAGAAGACTTCAAAAAGAAAGACCTACACACAAAAAGTAGACAGGCAGAAAAATGCAAACAGAAAAATAGACTAACAGACAGAGACAGTCAGGCAGACAAATAGAAAGACAGATAAACCAATTTTGTTTTTCTTTTTACATTGGCTACTCTTTCTGATTTATAAGTCCTTTCCAAATAACGGTCTTCATTCAGCCCATCCCACTGGTTTTCTTCAGTATCATACCAGGAAATCAGGCACAGAGCACAACAATGAAGTCCATTCAATAAAAAACAGCCGCTCTCGAGCCATAAACCACAGTGCAACAATAATCATCAAGCAGTATAACAGGGGCAGAACTACTAAAGGAGAGCCAAATTCCACCCAACTCAAGTCAATTTGGGACTATAAATTGGGTTTTTCGCTTCAAGTTACAGCATGACAGCATGTGCTCCATATTCACATTGCACTTGCATTTCTCTTCTTTTTGCATTTGACAAACTCA